CAACAGCATCACCAGGGCTTGCTGTGTCACAGGCACAGTATGGCAGGCACGGCTGTACAACAGCATACCACAGTAACAACAGCATCATCAGGGCCTTGCTGTATCACCACTACGGTATGAGAGCACAGCTGCAGAACAGCATACCACAGTAACAACAGCATCACCAGGGCTTGCTGTGTCACAGGCACAGTATGAGAGCACAGCTGTACAACAGCATACCACAGTAACAACAGCATCATCAGGGCTTGCTGTATCACTGCCACGGTATGAGAGCACAGCTGTAGAACAGCATACTATAGTAACAACAGCATCACCAGGGCTTGCTGTGTCACAGACACAGTATGACAACACAGCATCATCGGGGTATGCCGTTTCATTTACACCGCTTGACAGTACAGCTGTTCAACAAGATATCACAGAAATAGCTGCAGCAGGGCATACTGTTCAACTGACAGAGCCTAGCAGTACAGCTGTACAACAGCATGCCACAGTCACAGCAGCAGGACTCACTGTACAACGACCCGTCACTACGACCACAGAACCATGTACCACAGCAACTACAACAGCAGGGTATGTTGTTCCATTGACACAGCCTGATGGTACAGCTGTACAACAGCATGCCACAGCAACTACAGCAGCAGGGTATGCTATTCCATTGACACAGCCTGATGGTACAGCTGTACAACAGCATGTCACAGCAACTACAACAGCAGGGTATGCTGTTCTATTGACAGAGCCTAATGGTACAGCTGAACAACAGCATACCACAGCAACTACAACAGCAGGGTATGCTGTTCCATTGACACAGCCTGATGGTACAGCTGTTCAACAGCATGCCACAGCAACTACAACAGCAGAGCATGCTGTCTTGTCGAAACAGCTTGATGGTACAGCTGTACAACAGCATGCCACAGCAACTACAACAGCAGGGTATGCTGTTCCATTGACACAGCCTGACGGTACAGCTGAACAACAACATACCACAGTCACAATAACAGCAGGGTATGCTGTCCTGTCGACACAGCCTGACAGTACACCTCTACAACAGCATGTCACAGCAACTACAGCAGCAGGGTATGCTGTTCCATTGACACAGCCTGATGGTACACCTCTACAACAGCATGCCACAGCAACTACAACAGCAGGGTATGCTGTCCTGTCGACACAGCCTGATGGTACAGCTGTACAACAGCATACCACCGTCACAATAACAGCAGGGCATGCTGTTCCATTGACACAGCCTGACGGTACAGCTGTACAACAGCATACCACAGCAACTAGAACATCAGGGCATGCTGTCCTGTCGACACAGCCTGACAGTACACCTCTACAACAGCATGCCACAGCAACTACAACAGCAGGGTATGCTGTTCCATTGATACGGCCTGACGGTACACCTCTACAACAGCATGCCACAGCAACTACAACAGCAGGGTATGCTATTCCATTGACACAGCCTGATGGTACAGCTGAACGACACTATACAACAACATCTTCACAGCACGCTGTTCCATTCACACAGCTTGGCAGCATAGCAGTACAGCAGGGTACCACAGTAACAACAGCAGCAGTGGCATCTCAGCATGCTGTTCCATTCACACAGCTTGGCAGCATAGCAGTACAGCAGGGTACCACAGTAACAACAGCAGCAGCAGCATCTCAGCACGCTGTTCCATTCACAGAGTCAAACGTTCCAGCGACAGGCCAGTTCACCGCCGTAGCAACGACAGCAGAGGCACTTGCCATCTCTCGAACAGCTGGACAACACAGTACCCCAGCGAACAACAACAGCAACAACAGCAGCGTACGGGCACTGTGCCTCAACAGCAGATGCACAACAGCACACCGCATCGGGGCAAGCCGTCCCACCGACAACAATGACATCTGCGGATCACAGGGCCGAACCCGCGGCAGCTGCGGCGCAAGCTGTCTCGCGGACAGCTGCGGCACGGCGGGAGAGCACAACAACAGCAGCAGCATCAACGGCACGCCCTGTCCCAACAGCGACGCCCGCCAGTGCGGCCGTCCGACAGAGCGCCGGAGAAACAACAGCGCAGCGCATTGGCCGGTACCAGCGTGCGGCGGGCTCCTACGGTGACGACGGCATCGGGGTACGCTGTTCCGCCACTGACAGCTGTACAGCAGCAGCCTTCCCCAGTGACAGCAACGACGCGGAGTGCCGTTTCACAGCAACAGCCCGATAGCGCAGCTGTGCAACAGCGTGCTACGTCGGCAGCAGCATCGGGACGTGCTGTTCCACCACTGCCAGCTGTCCAGCAAACGACACCACGGACAGCGGCAACGTGGAATGCGCTACCACAACCACAGGCCAATAGCACGGCCGGCCAGCATGTTGACCCTGCGACGACGGCATCAGGGTACGCTGTACCACCTACGAACAGCCGTTCAGCAATCGACGCCACGGACAGCAGCAACGATGGGGCACGCCGTCTCAGTGAGTGGACCTCACGGCGGCGTTGCAAGAGAGGACATTGCGCCTGCAGCGGCATCAGGCGACGGCTGTCGCAGCGACAGCTGTTGCACAACGGCGCGCCGCAGAAACGGCACCGTGGCACGCCGTTCCGTTGACGCAGCTTCACGGAGGCAGCCACGACAGGACAGCATGCCCGATCGGCAACAGCATCAGGGCACCCTCTGCCACCGACGGAGCTTTGCGGAGCAGCTGTTCAACAGCGCGCCACGTTAACAACAACATCGGGGCATGCTGTCCCGCCACTAAGAGCTGCACAACAATCTTCTCGACTGACAACAGCATCAGGACATGCTGTCCCACCGCTAACAGCTGTCCCACAGACAGCAGCTGCTGCTGCTGCTGCTGCAACAGTAGCCACGGGGCGTTGCTTTCCACTAACGCAGCTCAACGCAGCCGATGGACAGCAGCAGCCTGCCACAGCACCCGGGCACGCTGTCCCTCCGACACAGCGGGGAGTCGAAAGCAGCGTGCGCCACCACACGGCCGGCCCGGAGCCATCTCGGGGGGCCGGCTGTTCCGTCTGTCGGGCTCCTCTGGAGGAGGAGGGTGGCACTGCTGGTGGCACTGCTGGTGGCACTGCGGGTGGCACGGCGGGTGGCACGGCGGGCTGTGCGGGGGGGTGCGGGGCGGCTGTCTGCGCTCGCTGCTTCTCGCACGGCCGCACCGGAGCAGCCCAGGTGAGAGAGCAGGTGACTGGGCATGGTGTGTGTGTGGGGGGGTAGGAGGGAATGATCGACCGTATAGAGCAGGGGTCGGCAACCAAAATAACAAGAAGAGCCATTTCTTTCCAATTCGGTACAAAATGTAGTATTTCAAGAGCCGCAATGCATCTGAGTACATACGTACATATCGTCAAGAAGCAGCCTGTAAAGAGCCGCATGCGGCTCCAGAGCCGTAGGTTGCCGACCCCTGGTATAGAGGATGGTGCCAGTAACGTGGGGGGTGGAGTAGGGGTTGCTGCAGGGGTTCACGGCTTTGGCAGGTGAGAAAAACGACGGCCCCAAATGACTCAATTGGGATTACACAGGTACACAACAAGACAAAGATCCCCCGTAGAGCCTCGACAGACTGTTGGGGCAAGTGCTGTTAGCGAGCAGCGCCTATGAAGGCCGGCACGGCACACGAGGGGGTGAGTGGCCAGCACTACGCTCGGCCGCCTTTGTCTCCCCAGTGGCGATGCTTACACATCGCACCAGGTACTCATTTGAGGCTGAGTCGACCTAGGGGAGGCCCAGGACCGGTTCTGATAATAATCGTCACTGGTGTTGGCCGTGAGCGGGAATCGAGCTTGGCTCGCCGGGTCCGTAGCGCAGCGCGCTAACCGCTGCACCACCAATCAGAGGTCGCAAACGGGTTTTGATTCCTTACCCGTACCCGGCCGCACCAGGGTCGCAAACGGGTACCCGTACCCGTACCCTACCCGATGCCCGGCTACCCGTACCTGGCCGGGTATCGTGTAGGGTATGGGAACGGGTACCCGATTGCGACCTCTGGGATGAAGCCATGTGTTGCAGGCACGGGTGGGTTGATTCTAGGAACTTGAATTGTGAGAAGAGACAAGACGTTGGGAAATGAGTGACAAACGGTTACTCACCAGTGACTCACGGCCTACCCGATACCCGTACCCTACCCGTACCCGGCCGGATAGGGTAGGGTACGGGTATCGGGTACCCGATTGCGACCTCTGGGATGAAGCCATGTTGCAGGCGCGGGTGGGTTGATTCTAGGAACTTGAATTGTGAGAAGAGACAAGACGTTGGGAAATGAGTGACAAACGGTTACTCACCAGTGACTCACGGCTTACCCGTACCCGACCGCACTAGGGTCGCAAATGGGTACCCGTACCCAACTGGGTACGGGTAGCCGGGTATCGGGTAGGGTACGGGTATCGGGTACCCGATTGCGACCTCTGCTACCAATACCAATGATGTCACCACGGCACCTGTGTCAGACCAGGTGCACTTTGAGGCCACAAAGAGACACACAGGGCAACAACGTAGCCCCCTATTGTGAACCTACCACACGCCGTGCATGTGAAACAGCAGCATCAGCAGCAGCGCCTTCCTTCGTGCGTGATTACTCCGTAGACGCAGTCGCCGAGTGTCAATCGGATGCGCTTTTGCGGCCGTCTGGAACGCTCTTCCTTCCGATATTAGGAAGCCACTGGAGCTATGCACTTTTAAATCGTCATCTAGATTGGCAAACTCACTTCTTTGAAGCGTTTTTTTTGCGTTGAGTTTGTTGTCCTTCCCCAGCACCTCCGATTAGCACGGTTGGCTACATACAGTGCGAAAGAAGTTCAACATACACACATAGAATCGAGGCTGCGTGGTCAAAGCAGTCTCGCGTGCTTTTGTTTGTCAGTCTGAGTGGCTTTGCGCCAGCTGCCAGACCGCAAGACTTGAGGCCCGGCCACCGCACGGCTACGGGAGACTTGGAGCACAAGGAGTTGGAGGAGGTGTGCAGGAGGAGGTGGTGGTGGTGGTGGTGGAGGCGGCGGCGGCGGCGGCGGCGCAGGAGCAAGGAGGACTGCAGACACGCGAGCGGCACGGCACGGCAGATTTGGCCTCAAACCACGGGCTGAGCCACCAGAGTCACCGATTCACGAACCACGACGACCAGGAAGCAGTCGCGTCCTATCATCACCACCATCAACAACAACATCAACAGCACCATCAACATCAACAACACCCTCCTGCCCTGACTCCTCACCTCCGCCGCGAGGAATCGTGGCAGAATCACGGAGGTGCGCGCTTCATTGGCCGGGAGAGGGAGGAGGTCGTGGCCCAGGGGGAGACGCAGATCCCACGCTCGGATTCCCTCTACTTCAGCCTGAGGGGCGAGTGGGCGGCTGTGGACGATCATCATCATCAGCAGCAGCAGCATCAGCCAACCACGTGCTTCATTCCCATGGTGAGACATGGCTGTGAGCCACCCCGAGTCCAGCCACTCAGCTCCAGGAGACCGGGTCTCAGGTTCAGAGTCCAGAGACTCGGCTCCAGGAGACCGGGTCTCAGGTTCAGAGTCTAGAAACTGGGCTCCAGGAGACCGGGTCTCAGGTTCAGAGTCCAGAGACTCGGCTCCAGGAGACCGGGTCTCAGGTTCAGAGTCTAGAAACTGGGCTCCAGGAGACCGGGTCTCAGGTTCAGAGTCCAGAGACTCGGCTCCAGGAGACCGGGTCTCAGGTTCAGAGTCTAGAAACTGGGCTCCAGGAGACCGGGTCTCAGGTTCAGAGTCCAGAGACTGGGCTCCAGGAGACCGGGTCTCAGGTTCAGAGCCAGACACTCTGCTCCAGGAGACCGGGTCTCAGGTTCAGAGCCAGACACTCTGCTCCAGGAGACCGGGTCTCAGGATGGGAGATGTTGTTGTTGTTGTCGTTATTATTGTTGTCGTTGTCGTTGTTGTCATGATTGTTGTTTTGCCAATGCCACCAGGACGGGGGGCATTCATGCCATCACAGCAGCCCTCCGGCCGTAGCTCGCGGCCGCGACCGGTTGGAGTCCCTCACCAGGCCGGAGCTGCCGCAGCCGTACTTCTCCGCGACGCAAACCTCCGACTCGCCGCTCTGCACGCCGCGCCGCACCACCCACGACGATGAACCAGCGGCCGGGGCGGCGGCAGCGGCGGCGGCGCCGGACGTGCCGCCTCCCCGGCCCCACGAGCCGGCCGGAGACACCACGCCAGAGACGCCCGCGGCCACCGGGCCGGTCGCACAGCGGCCACCGCCGCCGTGTGGCGCCGGGGAAGAGGCGGTCGCCTGGGCAGGGCGGCCGCCCAGAGTGGCACCACCGAGGTACATGGACCAGAACATCTCCGCCACCACCACAGGCCGCTCGCCCGCGATGGTTTTTCCCCAAGGAAGGCCGCCCGTGGGTTTGTCACAACCTTCTCAGATCGCAGATCATCATCAACATCATCACCAACACAACCATCTTCTACTCGGTCATCACGCAGAGGTCACCGTCTCGCAACCTTCACGCTTTCCGCCGAGGGGCCAGGTTACCGCGGCCTGCAGTGGCAGCAGCGCCGGTCACGTTGCTCGTGACCACTCGCGCCAGCTCGGGTTCGCCCGAGGGGCCGGTTCCTCCACCGTGGTGGCGGACCGCTCACGAGCCGCAGAGTCTCCGGCCGCTTGGCCCAACGTCCGCACGCCAACACCGCTTCCCGACGGGCTGAGCGAGCCGCCAGGCCTCGAGTCGCCCCCCTGGCACCCATGCCCAGATCCGGAGTCAGGGGCGAGTTGGACGCTAGATTTGGCGGAGCGGCACCGCTCGGCGTCGGGCGCCGAGTCCGCTCACGCCGGCGGTCGAGAACCCTGGACGGCAAGCGAGAGGTCGACCGAGAGGTCAACTGAAAGGTCGTATGCTGCTAGAGTTTGCTCCGTGATGGTGGAACGCTCGGACTCCCCTCTCAGCCTGGTGACCGCCGCGAGTCACTCCAGGCTTGCACACGCCGCCGCTGCTGCCGCCGCCGCCACCGCCACCGCAGAGGAGCAGGAGGGGGAGGAGAAGCGGCGCTCGACTTGTGAAACGGTCATCATCTCTATCGACCCCGAGCCGCTGACGCAGGGGACGAGCGAGGCATCGCAGCCGCAGCAGCAGCTTGACGACGACGCTGTGAATTACACCATGCCCAAGGCAGCGGCAGTAGCAGCATCAGCAGCAGCAGCATCAGTAGCAGAGGCGGGGGTGCCAGAGACCGTCGCCCGGCGGGACAAGTCTGAGGGCGCCGTGAATCTGTCCACCAGCGAGGGCCGACGGAGGGCCTCACCGGCCCTGTCGTTGTCGTCGTCGTCCGGCGGAGGAATGGATCTGAGAGCTGCGGCCACGACGAGGCCTGCGAGGCCACCAGGCTTGGCGCTGGACGACGCGTCCGGCAAGCCGAGCCGGGAGCCCCTCGGCATCGCCGCCGACCCGGCCATCGTGAACCTCACGACAGGGCCGTCCTCGCTCGCCGGGCCTTGCGGCGATGACGGCCGCCACCGCCCGGCCGTGCCGCACCTCACGGCGCTCAACCTTGCCCGCGAGTCGACCCGAATCTCCCGCTCCGACCTCGGCGCCCAAGCGGCGGCGGCGGCGGCCACGGCGGCGGCGACTGCCGCGGCGACGGCGGCTGGGCGCGGGTGCCGCCGCTCGGAGCGCTCGTCGACCTGAGTCGGCCCAGGCCCTGCCAGGCGGTGCCGGCCGTGCGCAGGGACCAGCGGCGGGCGGCGGAGGCGTCGGCTCGGCCCGTCGACCTGACGGCCGCGAAGACCCCGGGCGGCCGGGGTGGGCCCGGCTCCCGCGAGGCCGCCCCCTGCGTCGTCATTGCGGCGGAGGTGCTGGGGCCTCCGCTGCGGCCGTGCTGTTGGCGGAGCGCCGGAGATCGGCCGTGGGCCCCGTACGCTCCGGCGGCGGCCCCTGCCGACGTCAAGGCCGTAGATTTGACGGCGGGCCAGTGGCTGGCAGGTTAGTGGGGTGGTGGCCTCGCTCGCCTGCGTTTTGCTGTGGGGCCTTGAGGTCGGTGCTCTCCAACCTCTCTGGACCGCTGTGGTCCCTCACACACTGAGCTGCGGGCCACCCCTGCACCACCCTTGCACCACCTTGCACCACCCACGCACCAGCCATGCACCACCCCTGCACCACCCTTGCACCACTCCTGCACCACCCTTGCACCACCCTGCACCACCCACGCACCAGCCATGCACCACCCCTGCACCACCCCTGCACCACCCATGCACCACCCTTGCACCACCCTTGCACCACCCTTGCACCACCCACGCACCACCCATACACCACACTTGCAACACCCATACACCACCCATGCACCAATGGCAATTATTTTTTCAAAATGAAAAAGCAGAACGGTATTATTATTATTTTCATCTTCTTCCTCTTATTCTTCTCCTTCCTTTCCTCCTCCCATATGGACCAATGACAGCAGCTTAAAAGATGCGACGTTAGACGTCTTATCCACCCAATTGTCCATTCACAAGCGGAGTGCATCTCGTCCCGTTCCTCCTTTCACGGAGCGAAGACAGCAGGGGCAGCAGCAGTGGCAGCAGCAGAAGCGGCGGAGTGTTTTCACGATGCGGCCGGTGATGTGGGATATCACGGCCGCGCACCTCGAATCTTCGTCGCGCCGTTTCGTGCGTCGGCTGGCCGCTGCGGATCGGCCTCACCGCGAACAGTTTGCGCCGCGCGCGCCACCACAGCCGCCGCCAGCGGCCCCACGCAGGTTTGGCGACAGCTGGTGCTCCTGGCGAAACCGGCGCGGTCACGGTCGGGACTCGCAAGCAACCCGTTTGCTCAGCGGTCGTGGGCCCTGGCAAGGCGCGCGTGCTCTCGCTTGTTTGCTGTGGAGTTCATCTTCTTGGTTCTTTCGGTAAAGTCACGTAGAAGGGAAATAATAAAATAATAAAAACATAATAAAATAATTCTCACGACGTTTCGGCCACAACGCAAGCAGCCGTCCTCAGGTGAAGACCAGGTCTGTCGGGAAGACAGGCAGACCTGGTCTTCACCTGAGGACGGCTGCTTGCGTTGTGGCCGAAACGTCGTGAGAATTACCTGGTCTTCACCTGAGGACGGCTGCTTGTGTTGTGGGCGAAACGTCGTGAGATTTATTTTATTATGTTTTATTTTTATTATTTTATTACTTCCCTTCTACGTGACTTTACCGAAAGAACCAAGAAGACGAATCCCTGCAGTCACGAAAGCTTTAAATCGAAACACAACCAGCCCTGTTCACGGTTGTGGTAAAGCAGCAACATCCAGCCACTGTGCCCTGCTGCCCAGATCAGCCGCCGCACGTGCCCCCCAATTGACCCTGCGAGTGTTTAAACATCTGGCGGGCTCACGGTCTGGCCAATGGTCCCCCCTGGCTTTCAGTGCATGCTCGTGAGAGTTCAAGACAGCATCGTGCCGTAACAATGTGCCACCCCCCGAACTGGCTGTGAGAATGTAATGGCTACGTGGTGTAGTTGTATTTTTTCCTTCACCCCCCCCGCCCCACTCACTCATCAGATATGAGTCAATTTTGACCGGAAATAAATCAGTCGACCACTGAACCTGTTCCTTTTTCTTTCTCTTTGTCCTGAATCCACCTGGATCTGAATCGCGGGCGTTATCACTTTGGTGCATGATGGAGTTTTTTTTGGGTTTAGATCGCGTGAATATGAATGTGTCGGTAAACCCACCACCAGCACCACCCGACACAGTCAATTAGTCAGCTTGTGTTTCGTAAACAAAACGTGGCCAATTCGTTACGAGTACAGCACCACCGGTTGTGTGTTGGAGAGTAAAACCCACGTCAACATTTACAATTGGAGTAGCCGTGACGTTTCGCCGGTAATGACAACAGCAGCAGCAGCAGCAGCCAGCATCATCAGGAGACAGCCACAGAGTTGTGGTAGAAATACTCTTTCTGTTTCGGTCTTAAATAGACGATAGGGGGGGGGGGGGGGGTAAATATGATGTCATCACTTGTGAGCCAATCAGATGCGAAGGCCAGAGGAGGGGGGGGGCTTAATGCAGTCATATGAATCATTATGGCTAATAACATTAACCTCCATTATTGATATAAAAATTACAATGGATATCCTTGATCAGACCCGACTACAGAGTTAGGTGGGTCATAAAAACCTGGACTTATCAGCGTATGACTTTTTTTATTTTATTTGAGGACGTGAGTTTCTGACCGACCAGGTTTGGAGGGGAAGTCAGAGGCCCCCACCTAATGTTGTCAGGGTCTAGGATTGGCGTTCATCGATCCATGTTGGGTGACCAAAAGCGCTGGCAGCCTTCTCCAAGGTTGTGAGAAAATCTTGAATAAGTATAACGCGTAAAAACAAAGTTTTTAACTATAAATCCTTTATATGCGTGGCGGCTAGAGTCCTCTCGTCCTCTGGCTTGAGATGGCTGCTACCTATGGGTCAGATGATTGTCTGCCAGTATTAAGCAATTGGTAATTAAATATTTAATTTGTTTTCCATAAACAGTGTAAAATTTTGGATTTTTTTTCACGAACATTAATCGTGTCGCACAACGAGTCTGTGTGGAAAATGTCAGCTCGATTGGATCACGGGAAGTGGGTTAAAAACGACCGAAAGATTTGCACGGTCGTAAGCAAGCAAGCAAGCACGCAAGCACGCAAGCAAGCAAGCAAGCAAGCGAACTTAATATAAAGGATTTAAAAAGTAGGCCTCGGCATAGAAACTAAAAACTAAACTACCAAACGATATTTGTTTTTATTTTACCAGGTAAGGCCCCACTGAACGAAGTGGCTTACCACGTCGAAATGTATAGCAGCCGCCAAATACTCTAAGCGCGTGTTTCTAAATGTGGAGGGGAAAAAACCTGAGGTCCCGGATAAATAATCTACGTGAACATGGGGAGCGAGAACATGCAAACTCCAAACATACAACAGGCATCAGGGTCGGGATCGAACCCACGACATCCTGTATACCAGGCGAGGTAGTTAACACCTCGCCACCATAGGCCCAGCGGCCGGAGCAGACTTTGGCTTCTCAGCTGATCTGGCATCAAGGTGGGTCAAGGCGTTTTTTTGCGTCCGATCTGTCCATCCATCCATAACGTGGAAGCGGGTTGGGGAGGGACGATTTTAACTGGCACCAAGATGATACGAGCTTGCGGTATGAAGTTGTGCCACTGACGGGGGGGGGGGGGGGGGGGGGGGCTCGCGCCATTCAAAAACTATTTGAATTGAGCGAAGGGGTTACCGAACCTTTGGAGGCCCTACCGGTGCAAAGGAGGACTTTGCAAATGAGTAAACGTGCTTTTAGCCCTGAAGCCGAGTTGGTGTTGTGTAGCCATGCAGGTGGGAGATCAACGACCGACCGAATGAATGAGCAACCGAACGACCGAACGAAGGAATAAACGACCGAACGAATGAACAAGAGAGCGAGCGACCGCCAGACCGAATGAATGAACGACCGAACGAACATCGTGGAGCACGTCCACTCGTCAAACCCCCCCCCCCCCCCGGCGAGATGTCCCCCCCCCCTCCCCCCCCCGAGCCGTCTTGTCACCTGCCTCTCTCTTCCTTCCGCAGGTGGCCGCTGCTCTGCGTGGGTGACCTGCTGCCCGGTTAGCGCGCGTCCCGCCAACAGGCGCGCCGCCAGCGCCCCCGTGGCGGCCGTGCTGCCCATACACGGCCCCCCGCGGCGGCCGCAACGCATCGGCCGGCCATCGGTGCGGCCGCACAACATCGACCGCCCGTCGGTGCGGCCGCAGAATATCGGCCGGCCGTCGGTGCGGCCGCCACGACAGCCGTGCGCCGCGACAATGATTTCGTGCGGCGTCTCCACTTGATAACTCATTTTGTGTGTTTGTTTTGCCAGGTGTAAGGGCCCAACCTAAGCTACGTGTGGCTCTTTTTCGGAAGCGACCTGGAGGGAGGGGGGGGGCTATCGCAAATGATTGCGGCTGATGATCATCATCATCGTCGTGGTCGTCAGCATCATCATGTAGAAATGTAAAGCGGCCAAATAATCTAAGCGCGTGTTGATTCCACGGGGAGAACACGCAAACTCCAAATATACAACAGGTGTCAGGGTCGGGATCGAACCCATGACCTCCGCAACGCGAGGCGAGGTAGATTCTAAAAACAACCGGAGGATAAGCCACTTCGTTGGGCTATCATTTGTGATAGCAAGGTCGCTTCTGAAAAAAAGAGCTACACAGCGCAGTGGGTCTTACAATTAAACGTAAGTTCATAGTTTTATCAGCTTCGTTTCTATACCTCGAGTTACCAGCGGGTCCGGCATGCGACGTTGTTGTTGTTCCCGCGGCTCACGCGGTCGCTGTAATCAAATCCGCGTGCACGTTTTAAGTGTTGATCTGGATGACGCGTCACCAGCCACGATCTATCCACCGTTGCAAAGCATTATGACCATTCCCGCATTAAATACTGTCCTGCTGTAAGCATTGTAAAAGTCGGGCTAACATTGCCACGTGGTTAAAACCCCTGGCCTAAAGTTGGCTCAACGTTCCACATTTACCTGGGCTGCCCCCTCTCCCCCGCAAAACCTTGAATGTACGTACGTTGCAACTTCTTTCGCACCGTACGTAGCCAACCGTGTTAATCGGAGGTGCGGGGGGGGGGGAAACAAACTAAACACAAGAAGCAGTTCTAAAGAAATGAGTTCGTCAATCTAGATGATGATTTAAAAGTGCACAGCTCCAGCGGCTGCCTGATATCGGAAGGAAGAGCGTTCCAGACGGCCGCGGAAGCGCATCTGAAAGCGCCGTCTTTGTTCGACGGTTAGCCAGAAGCCTCTGCTGCAGCGAGGATGACCCCAGAGTTCGCGTGATGATGGTTTATCCTCCTTGACGAAATCGGCAGCAAGACATCGCGGTTCATTTGCGGCAAGCACTTTGCGCGTGCCGGGCTTAATGCCAGTGCCGTGGCGAAGACAAATCTCAGACGACGGGTGGACACAGAGCAAGGTACAAAAACAAACAGATAAATACTTTACTGGTTTGCAATGATCGGTCGCGACCAGTCGCGCGATACATCTCCGTGACCGAGCGGCGGGCTCCGTAACACAGCGAACGCGTTCAGCAACCCAGCGTGGACGAGCTGCTCAGCTGGGCTCTCGGCGTTTCTCGCTCTCTCACTCTCGCACGCGCAAACCCGAACGCTCACGTGCCCCAGCCACACACTCACTCCCGCGCACGCCAGGCGGACAAAGACCAGCGCCACCATCACCGGCAACGCGTTTACTGCGGGGCGACTCGGGTTGGAACGGCGACGCTGCGACGTCGAATCGCAAGCGCGCTCTGCCGTTGATTGCATCCTCGTGGCGCACGGCAATCAAGAAGGTGCTGCTGAGTCTCACTGGGTGAGTAAGAGAGATGGAGGTGGTGATGCGATGCGTATTTTTTTTTACCGGAATAAATTTGCGGGTACATTTTTTTTCTTCTCAAAATTGGACCACGATTGTGGGCACACGTGGCCTCCTCTCTTTCGAAACGTCACGGGCGTCTTTTGACGTCCAACGTGACGCGAACTGGCGTGTGGTCACGGTGAATGCATCCGCACGCGGACTTGACCAGGTTGGTCCACAGGGCCTCCGTCGCATGCTTCTGCAATAAGCCTCACCCCCTGCCAATGAGCAGCTTTGTTGCAAACTCTGTATTGAGCGGCGGTTGGTCTACTACCTTTGGGGCAGCCACGTGACCTCTCCACCTGTGGTTCTGATTGGAAGCTGCTCGTTTCGCGTGCCAATGTGAAGTCTGGCGACGTTTGAAGTGTGGATTTCGAGGTCATGAAGCCCTTCAGTAGCCTCTGCCGGTGGTCGTACTCGATTTGAAAATGTGGGGTTTACCCTCCAAAAACACCGGTGTGCTGTACTAGTAACGAATTGGCATGTTTTGTTTACGTGACAAACCTTGCTAGTTGGCTGTGTCGAGTGGTGGAGGGTTTAGCGACACGTTTATATTTACTCTATCTAACTCAAAAACCTCTTGTGTCTTGGTTGGGCCGTCAGTGATGTTTCCGGTGAGGCAGCGGTGCTTAGAGGCGGGGGTTTGGCACCACCACAGTGACGTTGGAGCCTGACATTCCCATTTGTCAACTCGAGGGGGTGGCCAGCAGCTATCGGATTGGTCCAGATTTGGGCAACTTTAGACTTAAAACAAATTTTAAATTACAAAACAAAATGGCCACAGCAACCATTGCTGCCGCAATTGCCCTAACATTGCACTTTAGCATATCATGGCCTTAGATCTCACCCAGGCTGCGTTCAAAGGGCAGCGCGCAGCGCTCCAGAGCGCATTGTTTTTTGTCTCTTGAATGACCCTGTGAGCAGCATCCCAGAGCGCACCGTCGTACAACAGCAGCCAAGGGGTCCGCAGCAGAGGTCGCAAACGGGTTTTGATTCCTTAACCGTACCCGGCCGCACCAAGGTCGCAAACGGGTACCCGTACCCTACCCGTACCCCGCCGGGTACGGGTATCGGGTACCTGATTGCGACCTCTGGGATGAAGCCATGTTGCAGGCGTGGGTGGGTTGATTCTAGGAACTTGAATTGTGAGAAGAGACAAGACGTTGGGAAATGAGTGACAAATAGTTACTCACCAGTGACTCACGGTCTATCCGTACCCGTACCCGGCCGCACCAGGGTCGCAAACGGGTACCCGTACCCTACCCGTACCCGGCCGGGTACGGGTATCGGGTACCTGATTGCGACCTCTGGGATGAAGCCATGTTGCAGGCATGGGTGGGTTGATTCTAGGAACTTAAATTGTGAGAAGAGACAAGACGTTGAGAAATGAGTGGCAAACAGTTACTCACCAGTGACTCACAGCCTACCCGTACCCGGCCGCACCAGGGTCGCAAACGGGTACCCGTACCCGTACCCGACTGGGTATGGGTAGCCGGGTATTGGGTAGGATACGGGTATCGGGTACCCGGTTGCGACCTCTGGACCGCAGAGCCGCCTCCGAATGAGCGTCGTTTTTAGGTGGGCCGAGTCACAACCCAGCCAATGGGAGGAGGCGATTGGCCTGGGCTCGCGTACGGGGGGGGGGGGGGGTTCGCGAGCCCTCATTGGCCGAGCGTGCGCGTGACGTCACAACGCAGCGGCTCGTTAAAGAGCGCCATGTGGCAGCGCCAACGCAAGGGCGCCCTGCCCACCGACCGCAAACCCCCTCCCCGCCTTTGTTCGCGTTCCCTTGCATTAACAGCTCCGCTTCAGTCGGTGCCATTAACGAGCGGAATATTTTTGTTACAAATAAGAGCCTTGTGTATATATAAAAATATATATATATAAAATACTAGACCTGGGATAAACGGTCACAATTTGGGGGCGGGGCGAGGAGGCGCCATTTGATTCAAGAAGCGATTCTTTTGCGTTCACTTTTCACCAGTCTCGTTTGTTAGCGTTTCCCATTTCGTCCCGTCCCGTTATGTGCGAGCGTCAGTTTGCCCCGGTTTGAAGGGTCAAAGGGGACGACACGGAGCAGCGGCGCTCCCTTGGACGCCTCCGCTACTCCACCGACCCTCCCTCACACCCCGACCGTTCCGATGCCCTGCTGCGGTCTAGCCACGAAACGGGGACGTCCCCGGTGGCAGCTGTCCCTGTGCGGCACTGGGTGCTCGCAGCAACGGGCCTGTAAATACATGGGCATTAGGAGAGGGCGGTGGCGGGGGCAGGGGGTCGACGCTGCGAAGTAATTTGCGAGAAATGTATCAACCGTGGCAAAATTGGTGTAAACGTAAGGCTGTGGTATAATTTGCATAGATGGGAATCTATTCTAAACTATTACATTTGTTTTTATTTTAACACATAGGTATGTTGCAGAAGCCAAATGAGAGCTCAACGAAGTGGCTTATCATCATCACGTGAAAATGTAAAGCGGCCAAATAAATGGATTCTAAATGTCCACACTAATCACAGGGAAAGAGACTCTCCAAATATACAGCAGCAGGCGTCAGGGTCGGGATCGAACCCACGACCTCCTGTGTACCAGGCGAGGCAGTTAACATCTCCTAGCCAACGAGACGCTAACTACAATTCGGTGTACATTTCGAGAGCGTAAGAATCGGACTTCGAGAAAGATAATTTGCGCCGTTACTTAAATCAAATGTCAACCGCCCCACCCTCACGTGAAGATGGGAGTCACAGGACGGAGTGAGGACGTAGGAGGACGAGGTGAGAGGGGTGATGATAGTGGATGGGTGGTTGGGGTGGGATTAAGTGCTTCATGTCAACGATAGTGCTGCCACGTCGCGCGGGCTTGATAATAATTACAACAGCGGCGACGATAATAATTATACACGTATTATAATAACAATAAGGTTCTACGGAATGTGTACGAGGAATGTGCATCGCTACGTGGATTTGCTCTTGCCTGGAGCTGCTTTACCCCCTTGGCGGAGTGGAATGTCAGACGGCAAGTCGGGGACAAGAGGTGGCCAACGGGAAGGAGGGTGTCCGTGTGCGTGTGCTCGCTAACAGCACTTGACCCCAACGGTCTATTCAGGCTATACGGGCGATCTTTGTTTTGTGCGTGTAAGGAGCGGTGGAGCAGCGGTTAGCGCACTGCGCTACGAACCCGGCTACCCGAGTTCGATTCGCGCTGACGGCCAACACCGGTCATGATTTTCTGAACCGGTTCTGGGCCTCCCCTAGGTCGACTCGGCCTTTAAATGAGCGGGCGCTGTGGCGCTGGCGACACCATCCCCTCGTGCGCGGCCCTAACAGATGCTGCTTGCTAAGAGGCACTTGGACCAAATAAGTCTGTTGTATCTGCGAGTGAGCTCGTGTATCTGCGCGTGCGTGTGTGTGCGCTGCCAGCAGTAGCGTGATGCAGTGGTTCACACGCACAGCGCCACAAACCCAGCAAAACGGGGTTCGATTCCCAGCCAGGGTTCGATTCCTAGCCAGGGTCTGACATCCAGCCAGGGTCCGACATCCAGCCAGGGTTCGTGACCCATCCAGGGTTCGTGACCCATCCAGGGTTCGTGACCCATCCAGGGTTCGTGACCCATCCAGGGTCCGATACCCATCCAGGGTTCGTGACCCATCCAGGGTTTGTTACCCATCCAGGGTTCATGACCCATCCAGGGTTTGTTACCCATCCAGGGTTTGTTACCCATCCAGGGTTTGTTACCCATCCAGGGTTCGTGACCCATCCAGGGTTTGTTACCCATCCAGGGTTCGTGACCCATCCAGGGTTCATGACCCATCCAGGGTTCGTGACCCATCCAGGGTTTGTTACCCATCCAGGGTTCGTGACCCATCCAGGGTTCATGACCCATCCAGGGTTCGTGACCCATCCAGGTTCCGATACCCATCCAGGGTTCGTGACCCATCCAGGGTTCGTGACCCATCCAGGGTTCGTTACCCATCCAGGGTTCGAGTGGTGGGGTAGGGGGTGGCGGGGTAGGGGGTGGCGGGGTAGGGGGTGGTGGGGTAGGGGGTGGTGGATGGAGGGTGGTGGATCTTAGTGAGCGGTCGCTGCGGGACTTCAGAACTCGGTGGCGGGAAGGTGGAGTCTCGGCGCGAGCCGTGCGGTGCCGTCGGCGCTGCCCGGCACCGCCACCACCAGCTGCTGCTGCTGCTGCTGCAAGCGCCGCACGTGGCACGGGTGGCACAGTAGGTGTCCCGCCAGTGGGTAGCAGCGCCGGGTGGAGCCGTCGTTGAGTGGCAGCCCGCAGTCCTGGATGGTGGGAGAAGGGGGTTGGGGTTAGGAGGTCGGTGAGGGGTGGGGGGCGTTGAGTTAGGGGGTGTGGGGTGCGTGGGGGTCACGGGGTCGGAGATGCGGGAGAGGCGGTGGCAGGCAACGGGATCCGCGAGGGGCGCCGTGCTGGCTAGGAGATGTTAACTACCTCGCCTGGTCTACAGAAGTTTGTGGGTTCGATCCCTATGCCTGCTGTATATTTGGAGTTTGCATTTCTCTCTCTCTCTCATCATCATAATCATCATCACGGTGGCTAGGAGATGTTAACTCCCTCACCTAGTCTACAGGAGTTTGTGGATTCGATCCTTACGCCTTCTGTATATTTGGAGTTTACATTTCGCTCTCTCTGTCTATCATCATCATCATAATCATCATCACGGTGGCTAGGAAATGTTAACTACCTCGCCTGGTCTGCAAGAGGTCGTGGGTTCGATCCCTACGCCTGCTGTAGATTTGGAGTTTGCATGTCTCGCTCATCATCATCATCATCATGGTGGCTAGGAGATGTTAACTCCCTTGCCTGGTATACAGGAGGTCATGGGTTCGATCCCGACCCTGACACCTGTTGTATATTTCCTGTGGTCACGTGGATTTTTCTCCGGGTCTTCCCGTTTTTCCGTCTTACCCTGGTAAAATAAAAACTAGTTTATAGTTTAACTCAAACTCGCTAAACTCCAAATTGGCAGGTCACGAGGTCAAATGCCGGCAGGAAAGCGAGCTCAGGGCATCGCGCATTGACGGCTAAAGATCGCTGTGTGGGAACTCAAACAGTGATTGACCCGATGTGGACTTTCCTTGGACTGTGAGATGAAGAAAAGAGTGAAGAGGCGAGCGAGGAGACAGAAACACAACGGGAGACACTCCGCTTCCAATTGTGCTTTTAGCCGCCCGGCGCGCTGCTCATTGTTAATAATAATTTTAAAAATCTAACTCGAGGTGAGGAGCTCTCTCACCTCGCAGTGGTAGCACTCCACGTGGTAGTCTCTGTCCATGGACACCACCCGGATCGTCTCCTCCGTGCCCTGGATGCGCAAAGACAAAGATTCACCCCCTGCGCCTCACCGTGTAGCCTCAACAGACTGTTGGGGCAAGTGCCGTTAGCGAGCTGCAGCAGCAGCAGCAGCTACGGTGGCTGGTGCTGCGCAAGGTGTGAGTGTGGTGGGCGCGGTGAGCGGTAATTGGTGAGTGCCAAGCTGTGAGCGGTGAGCGTGGTGCGGTGAGCAGCGAGCGGTGAGCGGCGAGTGGTGAGCGGTGAGTGCCAAGCCGTGAGCGGTGAGTGTGGTGCGGTGAGCGGCGAGCAGCGAGCAGTGAGTGCCAAGCCGTGAGCGGTGAGCGTGGTGCGGTGAGTGGTGAGCGGTGAGTGCCAAGCCATGAGCGGTGAGTGCGGTGCGGTGAGTGGTGAGCAGTGAGCGGTGAGTGGTGAGCGGTGAGCAGTGAGTGCCAAGCCATGAGCGGTGAGCGTGGTGCGGTGAGCGGCGAGCAGCGAGCGGTGAGTGCCAAGCCGTGAGCGGTGAGCGATGAGTGCGGTGGATCTCACCTGAGCGGGGAGGATGGGCCCGCCGCAGGCCGCACACTTAGGGGCGAAGGCCCTGTTGGGACAATAGGAGCAGCAAGCGGCAGCAGCAGCAGCAACAGCAGCAGCGGATGTTGTTCGTCGTCGTCGTCACGCTTGGCCGTGATCTATCCACTGCTGGACGCGGGCCTCGCTGGGCCTCGCCGGGCCACGTCGAGCCGGGCAGCGTCTCGCAGTCTCGGCGATGCAACAATCCGCGTCGAGGACTCAGCCCACCGGCTGGTTTCATCGCTCCATCTCCACGGTGGGATGGCCTCTCCAGCGTGCTCCCTGGCCGGTGTTTGGGGTAGCGCATGCGGGCGTGGTGCCGGCCATCTACCCACACCCTCGTGTGTCGTGCCGGCCTTCATTGGTGATCCCTAACAGCACTTGCCCCAAAAGTTTGTTAAGGCTATTCGGGGGGGCAGGGGGGGTCTTTGTTTTTGGTAGTGCATGCTTTGGAGAGCGTAGGTGTAGTGGTTAGCGCGCTGCGCTATGAATCTGGTGACCCGAGTTCGATTCCCACTCACGGCCAACACCGGTGACGATTATTTTAGCCGGTCATGGGCCTCCCCTAGGTTGACTCAGCCTAAAAGGAGTACCCAGTACGGTGTGTAAATTTCACCACCGGGGAGACAAAGGTGGCCGGATGCGGTGCTGGCCACCCACCCCCCTCGTGTGCCGTGGCGGACTTCATAGGCGCTCGCTAACAGCACTTGCCCCTATATTCTGTGCAAGACGATACGGGGGATCTTTGTCTTCGATAGGGCATGCTGGTTCCAGTGGTGTAATGGAAGACGTTACTAGTGGTGTTAGTGTACATAGGTGGTGGTAGTGCGAGCTGGCAACGGTGGTAGTGTAGGTACCCGTGGCAGTGTGGGTACCGGTGGTAGTGCGGGCCGGTACCGGTGGTAGTGTGGGTACTGGTGGTAGTGTGGGTACCGGTGGTAGTGCAGGCCGGTACCGGTGGTAGTGCAGGCCTGGTACCGGTGGTAGTGTGGGTACTGGTCGTAGTGTGGGTACCGGTGGTAGTCCCGCACGCAGTAGATCTTGTTGGCGACGTCGACGGTGAAGGGAACGCCATCCAGGCACTCGTTGCACACGACACAGCGGAAGCAGCCCGGGTGGTAGGCCCGGCCCAGCGCCTGCAGGATCTGCGAGGGCCACGCGGGCATTCGATTGGGGGGGCGGGGGCGAAACATCGGACATGGGAGCCGAACGACGCGCGGCACGACCCGCAATTACGCTCGCGCAATACACTAGTGACACACATGCAACACGCGCTCATGAACAGTCCGATCCACAGACTGGCACACACAACGCGAAGATCCATGAAGGCCGGCACGGCGCACGAGGGGGTGGGGTGGACAGCACCACGCCCGGCCGCCTTTGTCTCCCCGCCGGCGATGTTTACTACGCACCGCACACCGGGGTACTCATTTGTGGCCGAGTCGACCTAGGGCGAGGCCCAGGACGGGTTCAGATAATATCATTAATCGTCACCCGCGTTGGCCGTGAGCGGGAATCGAACTCGGGGTCGCCGGTTGGTTCGTAGCGAAGCGCGCTAACCGCTCCACCACCGCTCCCCACCCCCACACACACCTGGCCCCACCCCCCCCCACACACCTGGCCCCCCACCCCCCGACCCACTGCTCACCATCTCCATGACGAGGTGTCCGCACACGAAGCACTTCTCCGCCGACTGCTGGAAGCCCGAGTACTGCGCGGAGCGGGAGGCACGCGGCACGCGCTCGGTCAGAGGGGAGGGGCCGGGCGGGGGGGGCGGAGTCAAACTGTGACGTAGGGACGCCGCGACGACGCGGAGACACGGCAGCGACACGCTGGGGCTAGTGTACACTACTGGTGTGTACACTACTGTGTTTACACACCAGTGTGTACACACCAGTAGTGTACACACTGGTGTGCGTCAGTGTGTCTAGTGGTACACACCAGCAGTGTACACACTGGTGTGTACACTGCTGGTGTGTACACTACTGGTGTGTAAACATCAGTAGTGTACTCCAAATGTACAGCAGGCGTCAGGGTCGGGATCGAACCCACGACTTCCTGCATACCAGACGAGGCAGCTAACATTTCGCCACCATCATGATGATAATGAACGAGACAGACACACAAACTCCAAATATACAATAGGTGTCAAGGGTCGGAATCGAACGCACGCCCTCCTGCACACCAGGCGAAGTAGATTCTAAAATGTGGATGGAAAAACCGGAGGATAAGCCACTTCGTTGGGCTTTCGTTTGTGATACCCAGGTCACTTCTGTAAACATCTCGCCACCGTGATATGATGAGAGAGACACAAACTCAAAATATATACAACAGGCGTCAGGATATACAGCAAGTGTCAGAGTCGGGATCGAACCCACGACCTCCTGTACACCAGGCGAGGTAGTTAACATCTCCTAGCCACCGTGATGATGATGAGAGACACGCAAACTCCAAATATACAGCAGCAGGCGTTAGGGTCGGGATCGAACCCACAATCTCCTGCACACCAGGCGAGGTAGTTAACATCTCCTAGCCACCGTGATGATGAAGAGGGAGAGAGACACGCAAACTCCAAACATACAGCAGCAGGCATCAGGGTCGGGATCGAACCCACGACCTCCTTTACAGCAGGCGAGGTAGTTAACATCTCGCCCAAATATCTACAAGACCCTGCAGGTGCTTGGGGAAGCCAGGGGGATGGGGAGGATCCGGTAAACATGGGACGTTACGACTAACGTTGGCCCAACGTTCGCCCATTGGTTTTAACCATGTGCCAACGTCGGCCCAACGTTGGCACGTTTACTGGGCAACAGGCGGTGGCTGCCCTTACCAGGTAGTCCTCCTCGCAGTACGCCCGGCCGTGCACGCTGTAAAACGCCTTCCCTCGCAGGGCACGTCCTGTGGGATTCACACGCACACGCAACCGTGTTTATGAACTGTGTTGAACTTCGTTTGCACCATACGTCGCCAACCGTGCTAATTGGAGGTGCGAGGGAAGGACAACAAACTAAACACAAAGCAAGTTCTAAAGAAATGGGTCTCTGTGTGAGTCTGGGTCTCTGTGTGAGTCTGTGGGTCTTTGCGTGAGTATATGGGTCTCTCTGTGAGTCTATGGGTCTCTGTGTAAGTCTATGGGTCTCTGTGTGAGTTTATGGATCTCTGTGTGAGTCTATGGGTCTCTGTGTGAGTCTATGGGTCTCTGTGTGAGTCTGTGGGTCTCTGCGTGAGTTTATGGATCTCTGTGTGAGTCTATGGGTCTCTGTGTGAGTCTATGGATATCTGTGTGAGTCTATGGGTCTCTGCGTGAGTTTATGGATCTCTGTGTGAGTCTATGGGTCTCTGTGTGAGTCTATAGATCTGTGTGAGTATGTTGGTGTCTGTGTGAGTCTATGGATATCTGTGTGAGTCTATGGGTCTCTGTGTGATTCTATGGGTATCTGTGTGTGTTTATGTTTGTTGAACCTCTTTCGCACCGTACGTAGCCAACCGTGCTTATCGGAGGTGCAGTGGGGAAAGTATAACAAACTAAACAACTCTCCGCTCGTATAATCTACATCCATCGTACAGTGCCGGATGATCCTCGTAGCAAAATTGGTTACAAATCCTACGGGTCCTGCACTTTCAAGGGCCCCGCGCTAAATGCTTTCATGCTACCAATTCCGGTTCAGTGATTCTGCACTTGCTCTATCACTATAGTACTATACCGCCTCCGACTTTTACGAACGACCGGGTGTTCAAGGTTAGCAATTTGTCGTATTACCTGGGCTGTATAGCAAATGCAAAAATACAATTACTTTACTGTGCGAGTAAAAAAAATGTGCGTTTTAATATTTATGTGTATGGTTTTTTTTTATCAAGGTCCCCTTTATAACATCATGCTAAAGGCCCCGCACTAGCTTCATCCGGCACTGCCATCGTATATGCGCACGCGCGCGTATACGACGCGTGGATTGCGCGCGTATACGACGCGTGGATTTCGCACGAAATCATCGATGTTGCCATCCTCGATGGACAGCGCCTTGCACCGCGGAGATGTTTGCTGCCTCGGGTACGCGTCTGCGTGTGTGTACGTGTGTACGTGTGTGTGTGTACGGGTGTGTGTGTACGCGTGTGTGTACGTGTGCATACGTGTGTGCGTACGTGTGTGTACGTGTGTTTGTACATGTGTGTACGTGTGTTTGTACGTGTGTTTGTACGTGTGTGTGTACGTGTGTGTGTACGTGTGTGTGTACGTGTGTTTGTACGTGTGTATACGTGTGTATACGTGTGTGTGTACGTGTGTTGTGTGTACGCGTGTGTGTATGTGTGTACACGTGTGTGTACGTGTGTGTACGTGTGTTTGTACATGTGTGTCCGTGTGTATACGTGTGTGTGTGTACGTGTGTGTGTACGCGTGTTTGCGTGTGTGTACGTGTGTGTGTACGTGTGTGTGTACGTGTGTGTGTACGTGTGTACGCGTGTGTGTACGTGTGTGTGTACGTGTGTGTGTGTATGTACGAGCGGAGCGCCGGGTGGCTAAAGCACAGCAAGTTGGCACAGTAGGGGGCACAGGTGGTGCATCAGCCAGTCATCTCGGTCATTTCAGTCAGTCGACCCGTGGCACCTGCTGGGTCTGCCCCGTGACCTCCTGCCAGCGGGCGTTCGACACTTCACGTGGCCTCAAGGTGCACATGGCCTGGCACAAGCGTCGTAGTGACGTCACTGCCACTTACTGGCGAATGGCGATTGTTGTACCTGTGTATACGTGTGTGTGTACGTGTGTGTGTACCTGTGTATACGTATGTGTGTACCTGTGTGTGTACGTGTGTGTATGGGGAGCGGTAGTGTAGCGGTTATCGCGTTGCGCCACGAACCCGACCCACAGAGTTCGATTCCCGCTCACGGCTGGTGCCTGGGCCACCCCTAGGTCGACTCAGCCTCAAACGTGTAACTGCTGCCGTGTTGTAAACATCGAGCACTGGGGAGACAAAGGCGGCCGGGCGTGGTGTTGGCCATCAACCCCTTTCGTGTGCCGTATCGGCGGCCTTCTTGGAGTTGCTGACGGCTGCTCTGTGCTGATGCCAGTGTTCAGAGGCCTGCTCAAGGCGCGGCTCCGGCTGGAGCATGCCATGTACCACACACATGTTGGTGATGTGCGCGTCTTCTTCGAACGCTGGGGAGCCGGACAAGCCCCTCTCTGTAGCAGCGTGGACGGCACCTCGTGGTGTTCACCTTCTGAAGCGCTCGCTCGTCACCGTGGCGTGCGCGATGACATCACAACCACCACGTGACTTTTTAAAATCCTTTATATTAAGTTCGCTTGCTTGCTTAGGACCGTGCAAATCTTTCGGTCGTTTTTTAACCCACTTCCCGTGATCCAATCGAGCTGACATTTTCCACACAGACTCGTTGTGCGTGACAATTAATGTTCGTAAAAAAATTTTCCCAAAATTTTACACTTTTTAGGACAAAAGTATTATATTTAATTACCAATTGCTTAATGGTGCAATGCAATCATCTGACCCATAGGTGGCAGCCATCTCAAGCCAGAGGACGAGAGGACTCTAGCCGCCACGCATATAAAGGATTTATAGTGAAAAACTTTGTTTTTACGGGTTATACTTATTTTGTATTGTGCGCGGTGCTTTTAGCGCCACAGCGCGTCGATTTGTAGCGTTTATTTTAATTTGTGTTGCTGGTGACTTTGTGTGTTTCATATTGAAATCGCCTCCAGTGTAATTGCTGCTGGCGACAATAAAACTTGTTTAAAAGTCGAAGTCTTGGAGTTGCTGCTCGTTTATAGCAACTTTTCCCCACAAGGTTTGTTGAGTCTCCACGCACGAGGTGCAGCCTCTACGAAGCCTCTCTTGTCGCAGTGCGGCTACTCAGCACGAGGTGGCGCCACACCCCATACTCCTGCTCCCCCACAGAGACGCACCCACCCTGCTCTCTATCCACGTGTTCCCGCAGAGGGAGCAGCAGCAGCATGCCACGCAGTGGAAGTTTCGGGGTGGTTTCCTACCGGTCAAGGCCTCCCCCCCCTCCCGGTGGCTCCTGTGTATTTTTTTACGATTTCAAACGACCATTCAGACCATTTGAATGCAGTAAAAATTTAATGTCGTTCAATTAGAACGTAGTTCAGTCTTAATGTCGTTTAATTTGAATGTAGTTCAATTTTAATGTAGTTCAATCTTAATGTAGTTCAATCTTAATGTAGTCCAATTTGAATGTAGTTCAATCTTAATGTAGTCCAATTTGAATGTAATAAAATTTTAATGTAGTTCAATCTTAATGTAGTCCAATTTGAATGTAGTTCAATCTTAATGTAGTTCAACCACCGATCAAGTCCCCACAAAGTAGTATAAGTTTTATCGGCCCAGGATGGATGATGGGCTGAGTCATCTCCCCCAGCCAGGAGTTGAACTCGCAACCTTCGCATCGAGAGCGGCTCGCTCGTTACCGCTGAGCCAACCCGGCCTGGTTCCTTTGACTTTCCTGGTGGCTAGGAGATGTTAACTACCTCGCCTGGTGTACAGGAGGTCTTGGGTTCGATCCCGACCCTGACGCCTGCTGCTGTGTATTTGGAGTTTGCGTGTCTCTCTCTCTCTCATCATCACGGTGGCTAGGAGATGTTAACTCCCTCGCCTGGTATACAGGAGGTCGTGGGTTCGATCCCGACCTTGACGCCTGCTGCTGTGTATTTGGAGTTTGCGTGTCTCTCTCTCTCTCATCATCACGGTGGCTAGGAGATGTTGACTACCTCGCCTGGTGTACAGGAGGTCGTGGGTTCGATCCCGACCCTGACGCCTGCTGCTGTATATTTGGAGTTTGCGTGTTTCTCTCTCATCATCACCATCACGGTGGCTAGGAGATGTTAACTACCTCGCCTGGTGTGCAGGAGGTCGTGGGTTCGATCCCGACCTTGACGCCTGCTGCTGTATATTTGGAGTTTGCGTGTCTCTCTCTATCATCATCATCATCATCACGGTGGGTAGGAGATGTTAACTACCTCGCCTGGTGTGCAGGAGGTTGTGGGTTCGATCCCGACCCTGACGCCTGCTGCTGTACATTTGGAGTTTGCGTGTCTCTCTCTCATCATCATCACGGTGGCTAGGAGATGTTAACTCCCTCGCCTGGTGTACAGGAGGTCGTGGGTTCGATCCCGACCCTGATGCCTGCTGCTGTGTATTTGGAGTTTGCGTGTCTCTCTCTCTCATCATCATCACGGTGGCTAGGAGATGTTAACTCCCTTGCCTGGTATACAGGAGGTCGTGGGTTCAATCCCGACCCTGACGCCTTGCTGCTTTATATTTGGAGTTTGCATCTTTCTCTCCCCGTGGTCGTGTGGATTTTTCCTCCCATATTTAAAATCAACATCGCGCGTTTAGAGTATTCGCCTGCTGCTATACATTTCCAGGTGATAAGTCCAACTTCGTATTAAAACACAAATTGTTGACTTGCACAGTAAAGTAATTGTATTTTTTCAAATTCTATACAGCCAGATCATACGACTAATCGCTAACCTTAAACACCCAGTCGTTCGTAAAAGTCGAAGGCGGTATAGTACTATAGTGATAGAACAAGTGCAGAATCACTGAACCGGAAACGATAGCTTGAAAGCATTTAGCGCGGGGCCCTTGAAAGTGCGGCGCCCGTAGCTGCATTTGTCGCTACTTTTGCTACGAGGATCATCCGGCACTGTTCAGGGCTGTAATATCCAATAGGGCACAGTAGTCACTGTGCCCAAGGGGCCTACGAAAACTAAAGGTCCTACGAAAACAAATGTTGACCACGTCTTTTATGTTTTATTTTTATTATTTTATTACTTCCCTTCTACGTGACTTTACCGAAAGAACCAAGAAGACACGTCTTTTTTGTTTGTACGATAAAAAAAATGTAACCAAGCTATCTTCTTGAATAAATATATTTATATAGCAAGGACGGTGCACGGTGCATATACAAAGGGGCAGAATCATGTCAATGTCAAGCGAGATAGACTAACACCGGAGATTAACTTTTAGAGACTTTTTCATTGCAAAATTAGCAGTAACATCTCCACAAGGTGTTTTTGGCACGATCTTATTCTCAATAGGGGGTTAGTGCAAGGGAAGACTAGGCGTCGTTGGCCTATGGTTGATCGGAGACAGCTTTCGTTTGCTAAATCAGCTTCGAAAAAAGAACGCTCCCTTTCACAATTCGAAACAAGCGGCTGACAAGCGGCACAAGTAGCGACATGGGGCAGCAGCAGCGGCGGCACCGACCGTCGAAGGTTATCGCTGAAGGCCTACGAAACAGTATCTAGCGCCTACAAGAACCTCAACCCGGCCCTACGCTCGCTCGCTCGCTCTCTCTCTTCGGAGGCTGCCGAGCGGCTCGAGGCTGCGCTGAGCCCGAAGCCGTTAAGAGGACCAAGGCAGAGCCGAGTCGCGGCTCAAAAAACATCGCCCCTCGAGTCCCCGCACCACGGTGGAACTCCCGCTCCACTCGGCCGAGAAGATCGCCGGTGACCACCGCTTGGAGCCATGCAGCCTTCTCCGCTGCTGTCCTGTAGAGACCTCCCTCCCCCACGTGCCCATTGGATCCCCCGAGTGGTGTCCCCGTGATTGCCCCATGGGCGGAGGGGGGCACGGGGGGGGGCAGCCATACTGGACACCTTAATTCGTTTAGTTTCAGTAGTTTACAATTAAGATGAAAAAAATGAATGCGTTAATTACACGCACCCGCGATTTCTAATGTGAGACAAAGCGACCGCCATGCCCCCCAAATTTAGGAGTCAAGCTCCGCCTGTACCCCCCGAGACCGCTCTCCCGCACGCCCGCAACTCACCGCACGAGAAGCAGGTGAAGCAGGAGGTGTGATAGAGCCCGTCCATGGCCTGGCACGCTTGACCCGCACCGTACACCCCCGCGTTACACTTGACGCACATGCCTGGTGGGGGGGGGGGGGGGGGGGGGGTGAGAGGGGGGGGGGCTTGTAAGGTGAGGGCACAGGTGGTGCATCGGGCAGTCATCTCAGTCAGTCGACCCCTGGCACCACCTGGGTCTGACCCCCGTGACCTCCTGCTGCCGGCGGGCGTACGTGTGTTTGTACGTGTGTGTACGTGTGTGTGTACGTGTGTGTGTACGTGTGTGTGTACGTGTGTGTGTACGTGTGTATGTACGTGTGTGTGTACGTGTGTTTGTACGTGTGTGTACGTGTGTTTGTACGTGTGTGTGTACGTGTGTGTGTACGCGTGTGTGTATGGGTGCGTGTACGTGTGTATGTACGAGCGGGGCGCCGGGTGGTTAAAGCACAGCAAGTTGGCACAGGAGGGGGCACAGGTGGTGCATCAGCCAGTCATCTCAGTCATCTCAGTCAGTCGACCTGTGGCACCACCTGGGTCTGACCCCCGTGACCTCCTGCTGCCGGCGGCGGGCGTTCGACACTTCGCGTGGCCTCAACGTGCACGTAGCCTGGCACAAGCGACGTGGTTACGTCACCGCCACTTCGCAGCGAATGGCGGTTGTTGTTGTTGTTGTAAGGTGAGAGACAAAGGCGGTCGGGCGGGCGGGCGGGCGTGTGTGGTGCCGGCCAACCATCCCTCTCGCGTGCCACGGTTGGCTACGTGGCGGTGCGAAAGAAGTTCAACGTGCGTGCGTGCGTGTGTGCGTGTGTGCGTGCGTGCGTGTGTGCGTGCGTGCGTGTGTGCGTGTGTGCGTGCGTGCGTGCGTGCGTGTGTGCGTGCGTGCGTGTGTGCGTGCGTGTGTGCGTGTGTGCGTGCGTGTGTGCGTGCGTGCGTGCGTGCGTGCGTGCGTGTGTGCGTGCGTGCGAGCGTGTGTGCGTGCGTGCGTGCGTGCGTGTGTGCGTGCGTGCGTGCGTGTGTGCGTGCGTGCGTGCGTGCGTGCGTGTGTGCGTGCGTGCGTGCGTGCGTGCGTGCGTGCGTGTGTGCGTGCGTGTGTGCGTGTGTGCGTGTGTGCGTGCTGCTCACGAACAGCGCTTGCCACCAACATTCTGTTGAGGCTATACGGGGGATCTTTGCCTCGTTGAAATAGATGACGGCCACTCAACTGGAAGCTACATCGGAGCGCATACGTACCGTATATTTCTGCCTCTCAGTATGATTCCCAGCATGCGCCTCTCCATATATCAAGGCACATCCCCCCCAATATTCAAATATGCCCAAAATGTCCCCCCCCCAAATATATTTCTATAATTTTTTTTTGCTATGCTATGTAAATAAAAACAACAATTTGCTAAAACCTGGCCACAACATCTGGACTTGTCTTCATATAAATCAATGCATTGATTTATGTTTATATGATTGTGGTTTTGGTTGTACTTTGTTAATCCCTAATCTCTGCCATTACATACAATGAATCAAGAAATGTAAAAAAAGTAAAAACAGAGCAATGTAATACAGTACACTATTAGACATTATTGTAAAACATAAATCAACAGTCCATCCCATGTGTTGGTGAATTTTTAAACATTTTAGGCAGGAAATGAGTGTTCAAATTTAGATATTTTTCTGGGTTGGGACCCCCAGACCCCCTGGAAGATTTGGTCCCCCCCAATGTTGACTCCATGGCTACGGCCTTGCCATATATACGGCTGCTGAGCACGGACCATGGAAACGTCGTGTGGCCAGCAGTGAACACGCTTCAGGGATCGAGCGAGGCGAGTGTGCTGAGTGAGCGGGTGAGCGGGTGGGTGGGTGGGAGCGGTGGCGCAACGGTTAGCGCTACGCTGCGCTACGATCCCGGCGACCCGAGTTCCATTTCCGCTCACGGCCAACACCGGTTACGATTATCTGAACCGGTCCTGGGTCTCCCCAAGGTCGAATCAGCCTCAAATGAGTACCTGGTGCGGTGTGTAAACATCGCCACTGGGTAGACAAAGGCGGTCGGGCGTGGTGCTGGCCACCCAGCCCCTCGTGTGCCGTGCCGGCATTCATAGGTGCTCCTCACTAACAGCACTTGCCCCAACAGCCTGTGAAGGCTACACGGGAGATCTTTGTCTTGTGGGTGGGTGAGCGTGTGTTGTTGTTACCTGCAGTGTGGTGGTTGAACACCCTGTGGATGAGACAAAACTAGTCCAGTAAACATGGCAACGTTGGACAGACGTTGGGCCAACCACATGCCAACGTCGGTCCAACGTTGCCATGTCGTTGGCCAAACGTCGGTCCAACGTTGGCAGGTGGTTGGCCCAACGTTGGCCCAACGTTCGTCCAACGTTGGCCCACAGTCCATGTTTCTTCGGGCTCCGCTAGACCGAGACCTCAACGGAACGACTCCTTCCCGTCTCTCCGCCACCCACTCACCAAAGTACTCCGCCTTGCACCGCGTCTCCAGCTCCTGCTCCAACCTCAGCGTCAGCGCCTCCAGCTTCATCTCCGCGCTGCTGCAACCCCCACCACCTCCTCCTCGAGCGTTCACATCATCGCTCCTCCTCCTCCCCTCCTCCTCCACGTGCTCCCTCGACGGCCTCCATCTCTCAGCGGCCGTGTCGAGCGCCAGGCACGGCAGGCGCGTGGACGTCTGCGCCGCGCTGGGGGCCGAGCGGACCGGCTGCAGTGGCACGGCGGTGCCCAGAGGGGCCGGGCGGTGAGGTTGAGGGTGGTGAGGTTGAGGGTGGTGAGGTTGAGGAGGAGGCAGGGCCACTCTCCCCGCTACTGCTTCCCATGCCCGCGGTGCGTAGCTCTTGGCTGGCAGTGGCGGTGGCGGCTCCTGCTGCTGCTGATGCTGCTGATGCTGGTGATGCTGAAGCTGCTGCTGATGATGTTGGTGATGCTGAAAAAGCTGCTGTTGCTGTTGCTGCACCAACGGAGGAGTCCCGCGTTGCTGCTGCTGCTGCTGCACTAGCTGGTGCTTCTGCTGCAGGAGCAGCTGCTGGTGCAGCGGCTGAGCGAAGCTGCCGCTCGCGCGCGGGCTCGGCGTCACCTCGGCGTCCAGGCCGGCCCCGTAGCGGCTCTGCAACTGCTGCACCTGCTGCACGAGCTGCTGCTGCTGCTGCAGCTGCAGCTGCTGCTGCTGCTCGGTGTAGCTGGAGCGAGGGCTCGCGAGTTGCGAGCACGCGCTGCTCGCGAGCGAGGATCGCGCGCTCGGGAAGCGCGTGTCGTAGCCCATGCTGATGCCGCTGGTGCGGTTGCTGCTGCTGCCGCCGCCGCCGCCGCCGCTGCTGGTGACGCTGCCGCGGGGGCTGCCCAGAAGCGGCGGCGGCGGTGCCGGTTCGGACTCGTGCCCGGCCGGCGCGGGGCTCGGGTAGCCGCACTCGAGAGCCGGCGAAGGCAAGCCGCTGCCGCTGCCGAAGCTGCGCCGCTGCTGGTGCTGCTGCTGTGGGTGCTGATGCTGGTGCTGCTGCAGGTGCTGCTGGTGCTGTGGGTGCTGCTGCTGGTGCTGCTGCTGGTACTGCTGCTGGTGCTGCTGTTGATGCTGCTGCTGGTGCTGCTGCTGGACCAGTCTGGGAGCCGGCTCGCTGCCGTAGAGGCTGGGTGGTCGAGTGGTGCCCAGCACGGCGTAGGCGCAGAGGCTCGCCGGCTCCCCGGTGAAGCGGGCGACGTGTGCCGAGTGGCGCCGGCTCCTGGGCCGCTCGCCCCGAGGTGGCGCCGCGGCCGCTCCGCCCGGCGGGGCCCCGCACGGCGCCAGCGGCTCGCTCCGCACTCGCTCCATCGGAGAGCAGGGCTCCTGCCACCACCACCACACTGTGTTCAACCACCACCAACAACAACAACTCCACTAAGTGGCAGTGACGTAACCACGACGCTTGTGCCAGGTTATGTGCACTTTGAGGCCATGTGAAGTGTCGAATGCCCGCTTGCAGGAGGTCACGGGGCCGATCCAGATTACACGGGTCGACTGACTGAGACAACTGGCTGATGCACCACCTGTGCCCCCTACTGTGCCAACTTGCTGTGCCTTAGCCACCCGGTGCTCCGCTCGTTGTTGTGAGTGTCGCTCCTCCGCCCTCCGTTGTTGTTGGAGGGCGACTGCCTCCAACTGCCCAGTAGCGTCCTTCACGAGCCTCCTCCACTGAGGCCAATCTTGATACCGCTGGTACCAGTCATCGGCAAGTCCACTCAGCTCCACGTCCTCCTGTACCACATCACTCCATCTCTGCTCTAGCCCGTGCCGCGCCCGTTTAGCCCCCTCGATCCGGCCGAACAAAAGCTGTTTAGGTATGCGGTGGCTGGGTATGCGGGCTACATGACCCAGCCACCGCAGCCTTGCCTACCGGAGGAGCTCACAGATGGGACTTTGTTCACATCTTTCAAGGATTTGTGAGCTCCTCACACAATCCAGCCTGGTTAAACCCAGGATGGATCGTAGGCAGGCCAGCCTAAATGTTTCTAACCGGCAAAGATGTTCCATTAGGGGTGTCCACGTTTCGCAAGCGTAGAGATGGGAGGGAATGACCGTGGCCGAGAAGACCTGAATCTTCGTGTGGAGTGATAGACCAGGTAGCTTCCACACAGCCTTACGCAACCAATGAAAAGATAATGTCGCTAGACTGATTCGGAGTGAGACCTCTGCTGTTAAACTGGAGGTGGTCATGAGCACACTGCCAAGGTATGGAAAACTCTCCACTCTCTCCACAACTGCCCTATCACCAATTGGGAGTTGTGGGGGTGGAGTGTCCGATGGTACAAAATACCCAGGCAGGTGCTTAGTTTTGGTGGGGCTGATGGCAAGACCCCACCTCTTAGTGACAAGCTCCAGGTTCAGCAGCAGCTCCTCCAACTCTTCCTCTGAGTGTGCCGCAATTACCAGGTCGTCAGCATACATAACGTGGTTGAGCAATTGGGAGCCATCCCTTGACCACACCCGGGCATCGATCAGCCTCCCATTGTATCTGTACCAAATTGAAATTCCTACGGTACAGCTATTGAAGGCTTCACGAACTACGTGGTCAAAATAGATGTTAAATAATGTGGGAGCCAGAGGACATCCCTGTCGCACCACCACCACCACCACATCGTGTTCAACCACCATAACCACCACACCGTGTTCAACCACCACACTGCAGGTCACAACCCTTTCTGCTTCCACTCTGGGAGTCTCCCCCATAGCCCTCCCTTTCGCTAGAGTTCGTCTCTACGACCTCGTCCCAAGGCGGCCGGGCGTGGTACTGGCCACCCACCCCCTCGTGTGCCACAGTGCCGGTAGCCTTCATAGGTGCTGCTACTCGCTAAAAGCACTTGCCCCAACAATCTGCTACAGGCTACACGGTGAATATTTGTCCTTGTGTGTTCATAGGTGATGCTACTCGCTATCAGCACTTGCCCCAACATTCTGCTACAGGTTACACGGTGAATCTTTGTCTTTGTGTGTTCATAGGTGCTGCTACTCGCTAGCAGCACTTGCCCCAACAATCTGCTACAGGCTATACGAGGGGGATCATTGTCTTTGTGTGTTCATAGGTGCTGCTACTCGCTAGCAGCACTTGCCCCAACAATCTGCTACAGGCTATACGAGGGGGATCATTGTCTTTGTGTGTTCATAGGTGCTGCTACTCGCTAGCAGCACTTGCCCCAACAATCTGCTACAGGCTATACGAGGGGGATCATTGTCTTTGTGTGTTCATAGGTGCTGCTACTCGCTAGCAGCACTTGCCCCAACAATCTGCTACAGGCTATACGAGGGGGATCATTGTCTTTGTGTGTTCATAGGTGCTGCTACTCGCTAGCAGCACTTGCCCCAACAATCTGCTACAGGCTATACGAGGGGGATCATTGTCTTTGTGTGTTCATAGGTGCTGCTACTCGCTAGCAGCACTTGCCCCAACAATCTGCTACAGGCTATACGAGGGGGATCATTGTCTTTGTGTGTTCATAGGTGCTGCTACTCGCTAGCAGCACTTGCCCCAACAATCTGCTACAGGCTATACGAGGGGGATCATTGTCTTTGTGTGTACGTTGAACTTCTTTCGCACCGTACGTAGCCAACCGTGCTAATCGGAGGTGCGGGGGAAGGACAACAAATTAAAGACACAAAGTAGGTCTGAGGAAATAGCTCTCTGTGTGAGTGTATGGGTCTCTGTGTGAGTCTGTGGAGTCTCTGTGTGCGTCTGTGGGTCTATGTGTGAGTCTATGGGCCTCTGTGTGAGTCTATGGGGCTATGTGTGAGTCTATGGGTCTCTGCGTGAGTCTATGGGTCTCTGCGTGAGTCTGTGGGTCTCTGTGTGAGTCTATGGGTCTCTGCGTGAGTCTGTGGGCCTCTCTGTGAGGCTATGGGTCTCTGTGTGAGTCTATGGGTCTCTGTGTGAGTATATGGGTCTCTGTGTGAGTCTATGAGTCTATGTGTGAGTCTATGGGTCTCTGTGTGAGTCTATGGGTCTCTGTGTGAGTCTATGAGTCTCTGTGTGAGTCAATAGGTCTCTGTGTGAGTCTGTGGGTCTCTGTGTGAGTCTATGAGTCTACACTGTATGTGTGAGTCTATAGTGTGTTTGTCTATAGTGTGTGTGTCTATAGTGTGTGTGTGTCTATAGTGTGTGTCTATAGTGTGTGTGTCTATAGTGTGTGTGTTTATAGTGTGTGTGTCTATAGTGTGTGTGTCTATAGTGTGTGTGTGTCTATAGTGTGTGTGTCTATAGTGTGTGTGTCTATAGTGTGTGTGTCTATAGTGTGTGTGTGTGTAGTGTGTGTGTGTCTATAGTGTGTGTCTATAGTGTGTGTGTGTCTATAGTGTGTGTGTCTATAGTGTGTGTGTGTCTATAGTGTGTGTGTGTCTATTGTGTGTGTGTGTGTCTAGAGTGTGTGTGTGTTTATAGTGTGTGTGTCTATAGTGTGTGTGTCTATAGTGTGTGTCTATAGTGTGTGTGTCTATAGTGTGTGTGTGTCTATAGTGTGTGTGTCTATAGTGTGTGTGTGTCTATAGTGTGTGTGTCTATAGTGTGTGTGTGTCTATAGTGTGTGTGTCTATAGTGTGTGTGTGTTTGTAGTGTGTGTGTTTATAGTGTGTGTGTGTCTATAGTGTGTGTGTCTATAGTGTGTGTGTCTATAGTGTGTGTGTGTCTATAGTGTGTGTGTCTATAGTGTGTGTGTCTATAGTGTGTGTGTCTATAGTGTGTGTGTGTCTATAGTGTGTGTGTCTATAGTGTGTGTGTCTATAGTGTGTGTCTATAGTGTGTGTGTCTATAGTGTGTGTGTGTCTATAGTGTGTGTGTCTATAGTGTGTGTGTGTCTATAGTGTGTGTGTCTATAGTGTGTGTGTCTCTAGTGTGTGTGTCTATATCAGTTGTCCTTACTCTTTACTGCAGCCTTGCAACCCCTTTCGTTCTCAACAGTAAACACAATGTACAATATTAATAAACACATTGAGGGTTTGATGAAACAAGGTCAGTTGTAGCTCACGTTCCCCTGCTTTATTTAGATGATTTACATTCTAAAAAACACTCTGCCCATGTCTCGCTGCCCCCCAGAAAGGGCTCAGCACATCTCCAGGGGGTCCAGCGTGCACCCCCAGGTTAAGAAGAAGAACCACTGCATTAGATCGGTCCAACGTGGACTGGACCGCGACACGCGTTTTAAGCAAAAGTGTGCCGATGTGGAGATCGGGGTGGGGGGTGATTGGGAAGGAATGAAGGATGAATGGATCTCTGAATGAAGGACGGTGTTATGGGTGGATGGAGACATGAAGGAGGCATCCAGGAGCACGGGTTTGTTGCACGTGTGGGTGGATCAAGGAATGGACGGATGGAATGATGAACGGTAGCGCAAATTGATGTGTATTTATTTTTGGTGGATGGATGGATGGTTGTGTGAATGGGTGGATAGATAGATGGGTGAGTGGATGGATGAACAGTTGTGTGAATGGGTGGATAGATAGATGGGTGAGTGGATGGATGGACAGTTGTGTGAATGGGTGGATAGATAGATGGGTGAGTGGATGGATGGATTGAGAGTTTGCGTGAATGGATGGTCAGATAGATGGGCGAGTGGATGGATGGATGTGTTATGGGATGAGATGATAGCTGGGTGGATGATGAATCTACCTCGAGTCGTCCTCCCTTGGCTCCCTTCCTTGTGCCCTTCCCACCGTGGTTCACCAACCACGGCTGCCTGACAGTGTCCTCCGTGACAGTTCGTTACATCCTCTGGCCAGATGCAACGTCCCTCTTCCTCCACCACCTCCTCCTCTTCCTCCTCCTCTACCTCCTCGCGCGGTGAGGTTTTCCTTCCCAGTGATGTCGCCGCCGTTGTTGTACTCCGAGTTGCGAGTTTGTGGCGATTCTCAGTTAGACGATCACAGCGCTGCGATGGGCTCCCACACCCTCTCCAACTCTCTCCATCTCATCTCTCTCCATCGCGTTCGCTTCTGCCTCGGTCTTACTACAACACTGCCTCCCTCCCCCCCTCCCTCTCGCACTCTCTTACCCTTCTCGTTCACACACACACACGATCTTACATTCTAAACCTTCCTCCCACTCGGTCTACGCACTCTCACTCTCTCTCCCACACTCTCTCTAGCTCACTCTCTCGCACACTCTGAATCTCTCTCACTCGCTCTCACACTCTCTCCCACTCTCCCCCACACTCTCTCCCCCACACTCTCTTTCCCACTCTGAGTCTCTCCCACTCTCCCCCACACTCTCTCCCCTACACTCTCTCTCCCACTCTCACACACTCTCTCCCACACTCTCTCTCCCACTCCCACCCACACTCTCTCTCCCACTCTGAGTCTCACACTCTCTCCCCTACACTCTCTCTCCCACTCTCCTCCACACTCTCTCCCCTACACTCTCTCTCCCACTCTCCCCCCACTCTCTCTCCCACTCTCACACTCTCCCACACTCTCTCCCACTCTGAGTCTCTCACTCTCTCCCGTACACTCTCTGTGCTTCCAGTGGTCAAGGGGCCTGCTCAAGGCGCGGCTCCGGCTGGAGCACGCCACGTACCACACACATGCCGGTGATGTGCAGCGCGTCTTCCTCCTGGGGGGGCGGCAAAGCCCCTCTCTCTCTCTGTACCAGCGTGGACGGCACCCTCGTGGTGTTCACCTTCTGAAGCACTCGCTCGTCACCGTGGCGCGCGCGATGACCACAACCACCACAACTATCACCACAACCACCACCACCACCACCACAACCACCACCACTACCACCACAACCACCACCACAACCACCACCACAACCACCACCACCAACCACCACCACAACCACCACCACCACAACCAGCAGCACCACAACCACAACCACCACAACCACCACCACCACAACCACCACCACCACCACAACCACCACCACCACCACAACCACCACAACCACAACCACCACAACCACCACCACGTGGCTTTTATTTTGTGTTGTGCGAGGCGCATTTAGCGCCACACCACGTGGATTTATAGCGATTATTTTCATTTGTGTTGCTGGTGACTTTGTGTGTTTCATATCGGAATCGCCTCCAGTGCTGTTGCTGCTGGCGGCAATAAAAGTTTTTAAAAGTCAAAAAGTCTCAATGGAGCTCACTTTCTCACACACACTCTCACTCACTCACCCTGTGTCTCACACACTCTCTCACACTCTCTCACTCACTCTCACTCTCTCTCACACTCTCCACACTCACACACTTTCACTCACTCTCACACACTTACACACACACACTCTCACTCACTCTCACACACTCTCCACACTCTCACACACTCTCACTCACTCTCACACACTCTCTCTCACTCTCCGTGGGTTCCCAAACCACACGCACGCGGATTTCCTTGGCAGTGCCTCTAAAACGCTCGCTCGCTCTTCCCTTGACTCTCTATCTCACACACACCGCACTCTCTCTCTCCCCGTGTTTCACACTCTCTCAACGCAACTCTCCCTTCCTCTCTCTCTCGTTTTTTGGCACAATGGCCCGTCCACGCGGCGGAGTGATTCTAAATATCTCACTCAAGTTGAATGAACAAACCCCCCACCCCTCCAACGTTCGTACGTACACACACACACGCACGTGTATACGCGAAGACAAAGATCCCCCGTGTAGCCTTACACAGACTATCGGGGCAAGTGCTGTTAGCGAGTATCAGCACCTATGAAGGCTGGCACAGCACACGAGGTGGGTGGTCAAGACCACGCCCGGCCGCCTTTGTCTCCCCAGTGCTGATGTACTAAAAACAAAACAAAGATCCCTCGTATAGCCTCAACAGCCTGTTGGGGCAAGTGCTGTTAGCGAGCAGCAGCGCCTATGCAGGTCGGCACGGCACACGAGGGGGTGGGTGGCCAACACCACGCCCGGCCGCCTTTGTCTCCCCAGTGGCGATGTTTCCACATCAGGTACTCATTTGACGGCTGAGTCGACCTAGGGGAGACGCCGAACCCGTTCACACATTCGCCACCGAATGGTAGCTGAGCGGAATGTCTTGCACGCACATGGACACGTGGACGGGCGTTCCTACAGCAACCCAAGGCGAACTCGCTAATATCGTGTTGCCGACGATGCTGTTTGAAGACGCAACCGCCGATTATGATGATTGCACCGGACATGCTGCTTGTGCTGTTGCTGTGTGAGTTCATGGAGGTGCATGAGTGAGTGAGCGAATGGGGGGAGTTGTGCCCTCCCTTCACCACGCTTGCGAAACGCGGAGCCATTTAAATGAACATCTGCGCCGCTTTTAATCGTTCAGGCTGGCCTGCCTGCGGAGGTCCGTCCTGGGTTCAACCAGAATGGATTGTGTGAGGAGCTCACAGACCCCTTGAACGATCTGCACGCAGTCCCATCAGTGAGCTCCCATCGGTGAGCTCCTCCGGCAGGCGAGGCTGCGTTGGCTGGGTCATGGGAGCCCGCGTGCCCAGCCACCGCATGCCCAGGCAGCTTCTGTTTGGTCGGATCGAGCGGGGGCTAAACGGGCGCCACACGGGCTGGCTGGAGAAGATATGGAGCTGATGTGTAGCTGAGTGGACTTGCCAATGAGCGGTACCAGCGGTGTCAAGATCGGCCTCTGTGGAGGAGGCTCGTGAAGGACGCTGCTGCTACTGGGCAGTTGGGAGGCAGTCGCCCTCCAGCAACAGCGGAGGGCGGGAGGAGCGACGCTCACAACAACGAGCGGAACGGCGGGCGGATAAAACACAAGTTGTGGCAGTAGGGGGCACGTGTGGCGAGCCTTCGATAGTTCACGCGATAGCCTCAAGCTGCACCTAGCCTGGCACACGCGTTATGGTAACGTCACCGCCACTGAGTGTTGAACGGCGGTTGTTGTTGTAAAGTAAATAACGGGGTCATTGAATCCGCGAGCGGTGATCGGATCTGTGACTGAATTAGCGGACGAAAGGGTGGTTTTGATTGGTGCGTGGGTGAGTTTGAATGGTGAGTGGGTGATTTTGATTAATGAATGGGTGAGTTTGAATGGTGAGTGGGTGATTTTGATTAATGAGTGGGTGAGTTTGACTGGTGAGTGGGTGATTTTGATTAATGAGTGGGTGAGTTTGAATGGTGAGTGGGTGATTTTGATTAATGAGTGGGTGAGTTTGAATGGTGAGTGGGTGATTTTGATTAATGAGTGGGTGAGTTTGAATGGTGAGTGGGTGATTTTGATTAATGAGTGGGTGAGTTTGAATGGTGAGTGGGTGATTTTGATTAATGAGTGGGTGAGTTTGACTGGTGAGTGGGTGATTTTGATTAATGCGTGGGTGAGTTTGAATGGTGAGTGGGTGATTTTGATTAATGAGTGGGTGAGTTTGACTGGTGAGTGGGTGATTTTGATTAATGCGTGGGTGAGTTTGAATGGTGAGTGGGTGATTTTGATTAATGAGTGGGTGAGTTTGACTGGTGAGTGGGTGATTTTGATTAATGAGTGGGTGAGTTTGACTGGTGAGTGGGTGATTTTGATTAATGAGTGGGTGAGTTTGAATGGTGAGTGGGTGATTTTGATTAATGAGTGGGTGAGTTTGAATGGTGAGTGGGTGATTTTGATTAATGAGTGGGTGAGTTTGACTGGTGAGTGGGTGATTTTGATTAATGAGTGGGTGAGTTTGAATGGTGAGTGGGTGATTTTGATTAATGAGTGGGTGAGTTTGAATGGTGAGTGGGTGATTTTGATTAATGAGTGGGTGAGTTTGAATGGTGAGTGGGTGATTTTGATTAATGAGTGGGTGAGTTTGGTGAGTGGGTGATTTTGATTATTGAGTGGGTGAATTTGAATGGTGAGTGGGTGATTTTGATTAATGAGTTGGTGATTTTGATTAATGAGTGGGTGAGTTTGAATGGTGAGTGGGTGATTTTGATTAATGAGTGGGTGAGTTTGATTTATGAGTGGGTGAGTTTGAATGGTGAGTGGGTGAGTTTGATTTATGAGTGGGTGATTTTGATTTATGAGTGGGTGAGTTTGAATGGTGAGTGGGTGAGTTTAAATGGTGCGTGGGTGAGTTTGAATGGTGAGTGGGTGAGTTTGTTGGTCAGTGGGTGAGTTTAAATGGTGCGTGGGTGAGTTTGAATGGTGAGTGGGTGAGTTTGATTTGTGCGTGGGTGTCAGAGTGAGTAAGGTGATTGAATGGGTGAGTAGATGAGTGAGTTAGTTCTTGAATAGGTGAATGTGATCATCTGAGTGGGTAAGTGGGCGATTGAATGAGTGAGCGAGCGGGCAAATGTGTCAGTGGGTCTGTTGGTGAGTCGGTGAGAGAGAGAGTTGGTGGGTGAGCGATTCAATTGGCGAATGGAATGGTGAGTTCAGTGCGATGGCAAATTGAGCGTATTAAAGTGTGAGTGGGTGAATGCTCTGGTGAGTGAGCGCGTGGGTGAGTGGGTCGATGAGTACGTCATTTAACGAGTGAGAAAGCGAGCGACTGGACGAGTGAGTGAGTGGGTGAGTGTTTGCATGAGGTGCGTTAGTGTTTGGGTTGGTCGGAAGAGCGGTGACGCTACGAACCCGGTCATGGGCTTCCCCTAGGTCGACTCAGCCTCAAACGAGTACCCGGTGCGGTGTGTAGTAAACAACGCGGCTGGGGAGACAAAGGCGGCCGGGCGTGGTGTTAGGCCACCCACCCCCTCGTGTTCCGGTGCCGGCCTTCATAGGGGCTACTCGCTAACAGCACTTGCCCCAACAATCTGTGAAGGCTACACGGGGGATCTTTGTGGGTGGGGGTGGAGAGAGCGGGCGGGAGGGGGGGGGGAGGTCAGGGTTGGAACTCTTTCGCCGAGGAATGCGCGGAGGCGTACGGGCTCTCTGCGCGGCGGTGATGCGGCATTCAGGAATGCGCGCTCAGTCCGCACGGGTGAGGGTTACTGTACGGGAGACTGAGGAGGTGGAGGGTGAGGAGGTGGAGGGTGAGGAGGTGGAGGATAGAGTAATGAGGTGGAGAGTGAGGAGGTGGATGTTTGGGGTGAGGAGGTGGAGGGTGAGGAGGTGGAAGATGGGGTGAGGAGGTGGAGGGTGAGGAGGTGGAGGGTGAGGAGGTGGAGGATGGGGTGAGGAGGTGGAGGGTGAGGAGGTGGAGGATGGGGTGAGGAGGTGAAGAGGAGGTGGAGGATGGAGTGAAGAGGTAGTGGATGGGGAAAAGGGTGGAGGGTGAGGAGGTGGAGGTTGGGGTGAGG